AATTTACAGCTGAGTCATGGAGACGCCGCGAGCCATCCACTCTGGCGCGTCCCTTGGTCGCCCGCACCTCGGCTAGTGGAATAGTGTCACTCACAGAATCTGTGACCTGGGGAGACCTGCAGAGGTGCGCGAAGATACTGCTTTTCTTTGGTGCCGCGAGAGGCGTTGTTTTAGACATGACAAAGTCTAAAAGCCACTTCAGGATGTGGCAGTAACTGCGAGGCCCGGTTTTAAAATGGCATATGTTGATAGTGACCGCGTTCTGGACCTCAGCGCCAGGTGTGCACGCTAGGGATCTTTGAAGCTCTGCGTTAGTTTCACTAGGCTTCTGCTCTGCTTCGGGACGATGAAATTGAAGGGGCATCCTGAGAGTGAAGGCGCGGGGTGGCCTCATGTCAGATTCCTCCTGGACTTGGCTTCAGATGAATAGATCTGCACTGTGTACAGGCACAGTTGCTGATATGTGTTCAAGATGAGTGGGATGGGAGAAAACACCTCTGACCCGTCCAGGGCAGAGACAAGAAAACGCAAGGAATGTACTGACCAGCTTGGACCCAGCCCCAAAAGGAGCACCGAGAAACGTAATCGTGAGCAGGAAAATAAGTACATAGAAGAACTCGCAGAGCTGATTTTTGCAAATTTTAATGATATTGACAACTTCAACTTCAAACCTGACAAATGTGCGATCTTAAAAGAAACTGTGAAGCAGATTCGTCAGATCAAAGAGCAAGAGAAAGCAGCAGCTGCCAACATAGATGAAGTGCAGAAGTCAGACGTGTCGTCCACAGGGCAGGGTGTCATCGACAAGGATGCGCTGGGGCCTATGATGCTTGAGGCCCTCGATGGCTTCTTTTTTGTGGTGAACCTGGAAGGCAATGTGGTGTTCGTATCAGAGAATGTCACGCAGTATCTAAGGTATAACCAGGAAGAGCTGATGAACAAAAGTGTCTACAGCATCCTGCATGTCGGGGACCACACTGAATTTGTCAAGAACCTGCTGCCAAAGTCCATAGTGAATGGGGGATCATGGTCTGGCGAACCTCCCAGGCGGAACAGCCATACCTTCAACTGCCGGATGCTGGTAAAGCCTTTACCTGATTCAGAAGAGGAAGGCCATGATAACCAGGAAACACATCAGAAGTATGAAGCTATGCAGTGCTTCGCTGTGTCTCAGCCAAAGTCCATCAAAGAAGAAGGAGAAGATTTGCAGTCCTGCTTGATTTGTGTGGCACGAAGAGTCCCCATGAAGGAAAGACCAGCCCTTCCCTCATCAGAGAGCTTTACCACCCGCCAGGACCTCCAAGGCAAGATTACATCTCTGGACACTAGCACCATGAGAGCTGCCATGAAGCCAGGCTGGGAGGATCTGGTGAGGAGATGAATTCAGAAGTTCCACACACAGCATGAAGGGGAGTCTCTGTCCTATGCGAAGAGGCATCACCATGAAGTTCTGAGACAAGGATTGGCATTCAGTCAAATATACCGTTTTTCTTTGTCCGATGGCACTCTTGTTGCTGCACAAACGAAAAGCAAACTCATCCGTTCTCAGACGACTAACGAGCCTCAGCTTGTAATATCCTTACACATGCTTCACAGAGAGCAGAATGTATGTGTAATGAATCCGGATCTGACTGGACAAGCGATGGGGAAGCCATTGAATCCAATTAGCTCTAGCAGCCCTGCCCATCAGGCCATGTGCAGTGGGAACCCAGGTCAGGACATGACCCTCAGTAGCAATATAAATTTTCCCATGAATGGCCCAAAGGAACAAATGGGCATGCCTATGGGCAGGTTTGGTGGTTCTGGGGGCATGAACCATGTATCAAGCAAGCAAACAACTCGGCGGCTTGTGCTGACATCTGCCCTATGGGTACCCTCTTCTGCACTTGAGAAGAAACCACCACCGCGAAACCCTTGGAGGAGCCGTCTGTAAAGACTGAGCGAGCTCCAACTAGAGGGTTCTCCTTTAAAATCTTGGGAAAGATCACAGGGTGTTTTTTGAAAAAAGACATCAAGGGGCTGTTGGGATATTGGTTATCAAACTGAGCGCCTGTAGATGTAATAAACAGGGTCCACCCATCATGGAAGATCTGTAGATGTTCCACCTCCTCCTTACCATAAGGAAGGATAATTTTATCAGGACTCTTTCCAAAGGTTTGAATGCTAAACTTGTGCGCCTTCCACAACAATTGTAAAATGAGATCATAGTAAGGGGTCACTACCTTCTTAGGGGAGGCTGACAAATGTACCCAATAAATAGGACCAGTCTGCCAAAACACGGCAGTGGGCGAAAAGCTAGATGAAAGTACAACCAGAACAAGGGGCTGCCCATAATCTATACGCCGAAGGTGGGCTTGCTCTATACTTCTTAACAACAATTGTAGGGCTTCCCTGGCCTCTGGGGTAATCTGTCTAGGGGAAGTTGGAGCAGGATCCCCAGGAAGAATATCATAAAGCGCTTTAAGAGCCCCTGTTTTAATAGAAAGAGAAGGACGAAACCATTGCACCTCTCCCAAAAATCTCTGCCAATCATGAAGTGTTTTTAAATTTGAACAATCGATCTGGAGTCTTTGTGGCCGGAGGCCAGTTTGTTGAATTTGATGACCCAAATAAGTATAAGGGGGTCTCTTTTGGATCTTTTCAGGAGCCAAAATAAATCCTCGGGCCTCCAGAAGCTCCTGTAGCTCTGCAAAGGCTATGTAACATTGTCTTTCTTCGGCCGCGGCCAAAAGAATATCATCCATGTAGTGGATAATGTAAAGGTCAGGGAACTTACGTCTGAGGGGATCTAAACAGGCAGCTACATAAATCTGGCATATAGTTGGACTATTAGCCATCCCTTGGGGGAGCACCACCCATTGGAAGCGAAGGGCAGGCTCCCTAAAGTTAATCGAAGGAAGGCTAAACGCAAACCGAGGACTATCTTGAGAATGCAAGGGAATAGAAAAGAAGCAATCCTTCAAATCAATAACAATCAAATGCCAGTCTTTAGGAATGGCCACAGGCACGGGCAAGCCAGGCTGCAGAGCCCCCATAGGCTGCATGGTCGCATTCACGGCCCTCAAGTCTTGTAGTAACCTCCATTTCCCTGAAGATTTTTTTATTACAAATATAGGGGTATTCCAAGGGGACGTGGAAGGAACCAAATGACCTGCCTCCAATTGTTCTTGAACTAGCTGGTGAGCCGCCCTTAGTTTCTCCGCTGGTAAGGGCCACTGTTCCACCCATACCGGATCATCTGATAGCCATGTGATGGGTATGGGGGCTGGCGGCGCAACAGTGACCCTCATCAAAAATGGCCAAAACCCTTCCTATCCCCTGGGGCCCTGGTCTCCAAAGGGAGGGATGCCACAGGGCAAACCTCTCCCTGTTCTAGTTTACCTAGTTCCCTCCCCGGGCTCCAGCCCCTCCCTTGCGTCATCTGGGGGCCCCTGCTTTTGGACTTGGGTGCCTGGGTGGTGAGGACCACTCCCATTTCTTGCATGAGGTCCCGTCCCCAGAGGTTAATAGGGAGGCCAGGCAAAACATATGGCTGGAAAAGCCCTGTGTGGCCCTCAGAGTCTTGCCACTTTAGGATTCTGAGGCTTTTTGGGGCACAGCCTGTCCTATTCCCTGGAGGGTCACTGTCCCTTCCTCTTTCGGCCAAGCGGGGGGCCAGAATTTATCTGAGAGGACAGAGAAATCTGCCCCAGAATCTAAGACGCCCCTAAAGAACTTGCCTTCTATCTTTAATGTAAGCTGGGGGCGGTTCTCCATAGTGGCTACCCAAAATGCTGCTGGGCCGGTACTTCCAAAACCTTGGTTGCCCCTTTTCTCTTTAATTTTTCTAGCCTCACAAGGAGCTGTAGGGAGAAGGAGTAACTGAGCAATCCGTTCTCCTGCAGGGATGGCAACAACCCCACTGCCCACTGATGTCATTATTTTAATCTCCCCCTCACTATCCTGGTCTATAACACCGGGGTGTACCTGGATGCCTCGAAGAATAGTACTGGACCGTCCCAAGAGTAGTCCGACCGTGCCTGGGGGCAATGGCCCATGCACCCCAGTAGGGAGGGCCTGGATCCCCATTTCCGGTGTTAGGATTGCCCGGGCAGAGGGAGCGAGGTCCAATCCTGCACTCCCCGAGGTGGCTCTAAGGAGGTCTGAGATATGAAGGGGTTGCTCTGGGGGAGAAAATGAATCCTGCCACTGCCCGGAGCAGGGGTCATTGCCCCGTACACATTGGTTTTGGGGCCCTGGGGCGGGGCCCTCCTCCCGTTTCCCTGATTATTATTAGCAGGAAGGAAATTTCCCTCCCGGTCAGTTTTAGAGTAGCAGTTATTGGCCCAATGATATCCCCTTCGACAACGGGAGCATAAACCAGGTCTCTTGAGACCTGTAGTACTATTTTGAGGGCACTCTCTACGGAAGTGTCCCTCCCTGCTGCAGCTGAAACATGTTTTTCTCCCTCCTAGAGTAGGTCTTTCTTTCCCCACTTGGGGCCGAATAGCAGCAGCTAACACTTGGCCCTGGATGAAGTTCCCATCAATGTCCCTACAAATCCGGATATAGTCATTTAGACTTTTATTGCGATAGGGGCGAAGGGCTTCCTTACAATACTTATTTGCATTTTCAAATGCCATCTGCTTGATGACCGGCATCGCAGGCCCAATGCCCCCAAATATTCTTTCTGCTACCTGACTGAGACGGTCTACGAAGTCTTGAAAAGGTTCGGAGGGTCCTTGAAGGACTTTGGACAGATGATCCCCTCCTTCCTTGGAAGGCAATGCTTTCCAAGCCCCTTGGGCCGCTGCTGCCACTTGGGCATAGACTGCGATGTCATATTGCATTTGTTGCTGAATGGTGGCATATTGACCACTCCCGGTAAGCATCTCCACATTTCTCTGGGGCTGTCCGGCCTGTGCATTTCTTTGGGCTGTCTGGCTGCATCTTTCCTGAAACTCACCTCTCCAAATCAAATAATCTCCCCTGATAGAGTCGCTCGGCAAAGCTGCTGCCAATCACTAGGTGTCAAGTTAAGAGACGCAAAAGATTCCATTAAGGAAAGTGTAAAGGGAGCCTGTGCTCCATAATTTAAAGTTGCCTCCTTAAGTTGTTTTATATCCTTAAAATTTAAAGGGTTATGATGCCGAATGACCTGTCCAGCATTGTTTGGGTCTGGAACTTCCATTACTGGGGCCACCACCGGGCAGCATTGGACCCCTCCTCTGGGTCTTCCCTCCAGGTCCGAGAAGGACTGAGTTATCTCATAGGAGTCCCTTTTTTCAGAGTATGGGGAAGGGTTTCTCTCCCTGTCCTGTCTTTCCTTAAATCGAATCTTTTTTAGTTCTTTTTAAGGGCCGCGATCTCAGCAAGTAACCGTTCCTTTTCAGACTGTGACGAGTCTGAGTCTGAGCTACTTCCATTTTCTAGGTCTGATAGAGAAGGATATAACCGATTCTGACCGGAGTTCTTCTGTTTGGGTCGCGCCCGGAGATCTCTACCCGTTTTTTTGTTGTTACTAAGAGACTCCTCCTCATCCTCACTAACAATGGAGCCTCTAGTTTCAGTCAGGGTCCCTTCAGATGATTCATCATCACTCTCTGCCCCTGAACTCAAGGAGGCTTGAGTCTCAGTCTCTTGTAATTCTAAAAAAGCCTCTTTTGTGTCCTGAACTACCTGGCGGTGACGAACCTTATCTGTCAAAAGTGCTCCCCTCACTAATCTCCATAAGGAGAATGTCGTAGGGGGTAAGGACTCAGATCCCTCTTTTCGTAAAAGTCTGTGAAGATCACGGCGAACCTCCTCCCAATCTGGAATATTTAAGTTTCCCCCAGTAATGAACCATGGACTGGCTCGTTCGATCGATTTTAGAAAGCCTTCTAGGGTTTTAGACTTGACTGCAGTCCCATGTTCTTTAAGTAACTTTTTTAGTTGATACTGCAATGATTCTAGCTTCCCGGAACTATTCCCCATAGTTTCTTAACCCCGTCCACTTACCTCACTTTCACGATCTCGGTGGGACCTCCAATTGTCGCGTCTGCTGCGCGGCCTGTGTCCGAGAACGTGCGGAGGGTGTCGGGGATTGACAACACAGAGACTCGTTCAACGATGTAAAGAAAACTTTAAGCAGGCTCCAAAAAGGTTCAAGAAAACTTCCTAAGAAAGGCTCCCACCAGAGAAGCTTCTGCTCTCTCCTCTACCCTGGCTGGTTCTGCTCTGACCCCAGAAACTGATCTGGGCGTGGCAGAAGAGGCGGTTAGTCTTTGGACAAGGTCGAGGTCAGGGTGGTTTCTGTGGGCAGGCCTTTTCCAGGAACTTAATGCCCCCAGGCATTGTATTGTTTTTAGTAAACATTGTCTTACAGCTGCCTACTCCCAGGCAGAAGGGGAAGTGGGTCTCTGCTCAAGGTCTGGTGTTCCCAC